CATCTCTCCGAATTTTTTTCCCTGCTTTTTTTTAATTCCTGGATCATTGTTGCTTTAGATGCCGCTGTACTCCAGTTGATGACCTTCAGAAATTCATCCTAAATACAGTAGCTCAGAGGGTTGAGACTCGGAAAATAGAGCGACACCCAAAGAAACCCCCATCCGAGAGTAAAAGCGCGCAAGAAAAAAATTCGGAGAGATGTTGTGTTTGAAAGTTGCAGTTCTTGAAGTTGAGTTGGGTAGTTTCATCACAAATTCTTCGCTGTTGGCGTTGTAAATCAATTTTTCATCGAACTTTTTCGATCATGTTACAAGAAGTTATCGATGATGATATGATATGACGTGGTGTACATGTTTTGATTGAGTCAATCTTCACCGTTCCTTTGATGTGGGCAATGCGGGATATCACTTAGTGATTGAAAGAACGAAGTCAAATGCTTATCCATGTTTCGTTCTCTTCTCTCGATCAATAGTCGAAGCTCAGAACATAAAGCTTTTGACATGTTCGATGATTCTCCCATTAGTTTGACCATCTGAAAATGATAACTCGATTTCTTTGAAATAATCTACCGTCCTCATGAACCTTGGCTTTTCGAAAATACAATCTACAACGAAATGAACAATGTACAACAGAATACGAAGCATGTCAACGAGGTACTGGTTGAGTAATAGCGACAAGACTAACATATCTCCCTTTTTTTTTCGATGATATTCGTCTTCTTTTTACTGGATGTCAGCGTCCACTTCCTCTTGTACGAATGTCGTACATATTTACATAATCACCTGTCGTTGCTTGTATACTCATCTGAATGATAGTGGTCGAAGTAGTTATTCTGCCTGTAGTTAGAATAGGCAAAGAAAAGTCAATTATATATTATTGTCAGATGGGTTTGAAGCGACAGATGCGGGTGGAATGGAGGTGGTTCTCTCCTTTCTCCCTCTCTCGTTCTCTCGCTGTAGCAGCATCTTGAGCGTGTACATAACACACTTCTGTGTCTTGTGTTTTTGTTTGGATGGATGTCGATAAGTATCCGTTCAAAAAAAAGCAATGGTATTATTTGCAATCGCTTTTGTCTTTCTGCCTCTCTGCAGTGTTATTGTTGTTCTGTCATTGAAGACAGAGAGAACTGTGTGTATCGCTTTCACTCCCTCTCTCTCTCTTTGATTTTTTTCTTCTGCCTATGTCTCGTTTGTCCATCCTTTAACTATTCTAAGCAGTATCCCCTCCATCGACACATTCGGACGTAACCTTTCACCTCACGATTCGTTTGTTCTTTCACCTGTCCTTCGATTGATCATTTGTTCCTTCTCTTGCCTAGCCGTTCACCATATCCCTCCCATCTAATCTCTCCGTCTGTCCGATCGATCTCCATTATTTTTATCTCTCTGTTCTTGTCGATGAGCGTGATCTGATCCACTACATCTCCATCTCTCTATCGCATTGCCAGATGTTCTCTCGCCGTCCAAGTGTTTCCCTCACGTTGGTCGTGGTGATTCTTTTCTCGATCAAACAACAACAGATCATAGCCGATGAATTGGAAGATGAGAACAACGATGACATCGAATTGACCAAAGAGATGTAAGTGTTCTCATCCGAGACAGATGATCGAAAATCAATATTGATTCGACTAATCGAAAGATTGCGCTGGTCGACTTGTCGTTTTCTTGAAACGACGCACGGATTAGTCGTTCAACAATTGACTGCAAAGATGAAGAGAAGTGACGTGGACTGCTGTTCTCTTCCCTTTAGGCCAAATGTCTGCTCAAAAGTCGAAACGCGGACGATTACTAAACTTGTCCCATGTGTGAAAAGTTACGATCATCTGGTCAAAGTTTGGTCCCAGAATTGTACCAATGGACGACGCATTTGTCCCGTTTACGAACATCGGTGCGAAGATTTTCTCTTTTTCTTCTTCCGTTGCGTGGAATTTCCTATTCTTTAGAACGGAATATTATCGAAGTGAACAAAAGATTACAAAAGAAGTCAATGTAACGATCTATCATTGTTGTCTTGGCTGGACACGTTTGAATCACGATTATGGTTGTCCAATAGATCAGTCGATCGCTCCGCTTCAGCTTCGTCGGAGATGAAACTCGAATTGATGTCAAAATAATTGTCTCTGGACATTTCTTCAGCTTCATTTGATTTCATTTACGATTGAACTATTGAAAAATGACAGAACAAGTACGACGAATGATGAAGTAATCGATCGAAATCTTTCCTGAGTGTTCATCATAAACAAATGTCCCACTTGATTTTACTCTTCTTCCCCCCTCTCTCTCTCTTCTCGAGATGTGCGATCGATATCTGTGCAACATTTCCATTCGTTCATCATCGACCATGAATGGATGTCTTCACTCGCTCACGCTCTGATTCAGTACAGATCTCGTTCTTCACATGACAGATCGATGAAGAGAAACGAAAGGAGTTGTGCACGAACTTCATTATCTCGTCAATGAAGTGAAATCGAATTGAGAAGAGATGTGAGATCACCACCCTGTCTCGCCATAGAGCGAAACAAATCAGAAGGCCAAAGCATCTCGCCGATGATGAAGATCAATTTATTCTCCTATCTCCTTTAGCGATGCAACCTAATCGAGTGCAACGCAAGATTCCATTACATCACGCTTATGCTCAACAACCGGATATTCATCCGAGTGAGTCGATTGAATTTCATTCTTTCTCTTCTTCTTGATCAAATCTTTCCGTGTAGCTCGATGTCCGCACAACCGTTTTGGAAATCAGCGGAATCTTCTGCAATCAAACCAGTGCAATGACGAGACATCGATTCGATCAACGACATCGATGTCAATTATGTCACAATTATGTCGTGTTATATGGAAGTAGATCGTCTTTGTTTCGACGAGCAAAGGTTCGACGCAACGCGTGAAAAAGAGTTCGATTACACATCGATTAGAAAACGGTGATGCGACATACTTTTACGTCATCGTTTAGACTGGCAAGTGTCAATGTTTGCCGGGTCATCGCGGAATTCGATGTGAAGAAGGTGAATCGATCGACAGAAAGAACGGAGACTCGTCAGTTTTGTCCCTCTCTTTTACTAAAACACGAAAAAAGACAATACGCCGGCGAACAATAAGTCGATTGAAGGCGAAAGGCAAAAAAAGAAGATGAATGTGTGCTTCGCTTTGTTTGACGAACAATATTGGCGAAATAGACATCGAGTCGAAGGACGTTGTTTCTGCTCTCTGCGTAGACTGTCCAAGTGGTTACTATGGTCGGGATTGTGTGCACGAATGTACATGTCAAAATGGAGGCAAATGTGACGCACGCGATGGACACTGTTTCTGTTCGATGGGTTTCACCGGTCATCGATGCGAATCCACTTGCCCACAGGGAACTTACGGACACATGTGCTTACAGAAATGTCAGTGTGGAAACGATGCTCATTGTCATCCTCGCACAGGAGAATGCAGTACGTTGTTCTGTAACGGTGATTCGAAATGTCTGATGGAACATCAACGACGAAGATCATCGATTGGAGCGCTTTGTCCTGAGGGTAATCGAAGTGATAAGTGATTCGGAATGGAGAAAGGGAATCCGATCATCTTCCAGGATACTACGGTCCACCGACTTGGCGTTCGCAATGTTTGTGTATGAACAATGCCCCACGTGATGCATTGACAGGTCGATGTCTGTGCCATTCCGGGCACGTTGGCAAATACTGTGAACGATGTGAGTGATGTGTTCTCATCGTGGATGGATCGAGTCCGTACGTTTCTTCGATGTAGCCTGTGAACGGGGTTGGTATGGTCCTGGATGCATCCATCGCTGTGATTGTCAAAATGGGGCGACATGCGATACTCGCACCGCTATGTGAAATGGGTTTCACGGGGAAACTTTGCGATCAAGGTCAGTGACAACGATCGATCGGCAAAACTCGATGGTATTCGTCTCGGCTTTGTTCAGAATGTCCCGAAGGAACCTTCGGTCGGAATTGTTCGGAAACATGTCTCTGTCAAAACGGGGCTCGATGCAACAAAGTCACCGGTTGCTGTTCCTGTCCACCGGGTTATTTTGGTTCAACCTGTCAACATGGTAAGATTTATCCATTTCTTCTCGCGCCCGAGTAAAACTGCCTTCGTTCTTTCTCTTTCTCTCTGTCTCGAACAGAATGTCGACCATATACATTTGGTTTCTATTGCGCTCAAACGTGTAACTGTTCAGCGGAAACATCCAATGGATGTGATCCGCAGACAGGTCGATGCCGATGTAAAGCGGGATATTCGGGTGACAATTGTGAGAGAGGTTCGTCATTGTCATTCACGGAAGAGAGAAGAATGGCCTTTTTTGACACTCGTCTCATTCTAGCCTGTGCCTCGGGTCGATGGGGTGGACATTGTTTGAACCAATGTGATTGTCAAGGAAATCCTTGTCATCCTCAGAATGGCACATGTCAATGTCCAGCGGGTCGAACAGGTTCGCCATGTGAACAATGTCAGAGAAAATTAAACATTCCTTCGCTGATCGAGCGTTGATTGTTAATCAGATTGTCCCAGCAATACATTTGGTATCGGCTGTCAGCCGTGTTCCTGTGCGTCATTTCAAACATGCGATGTCATCACGGGCGAATGTCAATGTCCTGCCGGGTCGAAAGGCGATGCTTGTCAATTTCCACTGACGGCCAATGGATTAGGTTTGTTTCGAAGATCAAGAGAGAAAACCTTCATTCGTCTCGTTTCAGACAAACTCGAACGCGGCGATTTGTATAAAAAGAACACCTAAGAATCTCTTGCCGTCGAAAAGATGATCGACGAAGTTTTATTTTTCTAAGTCGAATTCATCTTGTACAACAACTGATTTGCTTGATGTGTAATCATTGAAAGATTCTTCAAATACAATTGAGCACCGGAGACCGAGATTGGAAGGAATAGTCTTGCGCACAAATTCTCTTCTTTCCACTCGAAAGAGAGCTGAAGAAGTATGTGAATGATTGAGAAAAACTCATCAAAATAAAAATAATGCTCAATTTCATTCACCAGAAACCATTTTGTATCCGTTTTCCACCCAGGATAGATGGTTTATAAATCATCCTTCGTAATAATAGCTTTCTCTCGATTGCGATAGATTTGCGTGAATTACCTTCGGGACATTTCATCGGCAGAGGAAGACCATGATAAGACACATCCAATGTTCGGAAGAGAATCGCCCCGATGAAACACGGACATGTTTTTTTGCACATCTGCTGAAATCTTCTTTGAAGAATCTTCTTCGAAGAAAAAAGCAGTGAAAAAAATTCGAAGAGATA